GATTTCAAGCTTTCATTTGATGTATAGATATGTGCTAATATCTTAATAAATGGGGATGATATTTAAGTTTAAAAATAGTAAAGAAAGACTGTGACAAAAAAATTCTTAAATTATTTAAAAAAGTGAAAAATTATTTGAAAAAAATCGCGCGATTTTTTTCAAATAATTTTTCGCCTGCGGCGCTATCATCCAATTTTCGAATGTTTACCCACAAAATTTTGTATTTTTTTTTTGGGTTTACAAATACAACATTTCATTACCCAAAAAATTTAAAAAAATTGTTCGGGTCCGGCGCTACATACCCATTTTCGAATATTTACCCAGAAAAATCGCAATTTACTCAATATACATAAATCGGTACCTTCTTATGAAGGAATTTTTGATATAACAGAACTTTTTTAACAAAGGTTAATATTAAAAGGTTTGTATTAATCCTTCTCAATAGGCTAATAAATTAGCTTCTATTATATATCGTTGGAAAGGTATTTTGATGTAATTTTCAATACTTTATGTATATTTAGTTTAGTACTTTATATAGTTATAATACTTTATTCCTGCCAAAACAACAACAATTAACTAATATCAAATAAAAAACATTTAGGTACTTTACCTTATTCCAATTACAATATCGTCTATACTTATTAAGATATTAGTATATATCCATACATCAAATGAAAGCTTGAAATCTCTTCTGCAATTTTTCCAATATATATCAGTAACGTTGTATCGATGGATTTACGAAATAACGGCATTTTTGTCAAAAAACTCTATATAAAAATACTTTTTGTGGAATTGGTCCTCAAAGGGTTAATAAAAAGGATCATATTATATATCGTTGACAAGGTATTTCAGAGCTCTTTCTAATGATATATATATTTTCCGTATGGGTTCTTAAATAGGGAAGATATTGATAATATATATATTTAACTTCGAAGGTCTATAACTCCATAACTATACATTTGTTGACCAAAAGACATATATCATAAATCATAGAATTAAAAGGACCTATAAGTGGTAAAATTTTTGTCAAAATTGAAGAGTTATACCCAATGTATATTAGTTCCAAAGAAACAAAATCTTTCAAATCAAACCACTCAAGTCTTTTCAGCCATACTATCCAGTCAAATTACGTCTTACTATCCAGTCAAATTACGCTATTATCCAGTTTTTATTACGTGCATAGTAAGAAAATGAAAACAAGAACTAAACAATATGCAAGCAGCTTACTCAAAAATGTTTGCACTGTTTAGTCGTCGTGTTCAGTTCGGTTGAGTCGAAATAACTTAACGAGGCCGCTGCTTGTTTGTGTGGCTGCTGAAGAAAAACAAAATCACTTGCTAGTTATTGCAGCAGGGTGTGCGCACAGTTGACTGTATTCAATTAGTTTGTGATTAAAAATTTTAACAAGTTACTTATTTTTTAGCCTAAAACTACACAGAAAAAATTATCACCTATTTTTTTTCAATTAACAGAAAAAAAATAATTTCGAGTTTCATTTAATTATTCTCTTAATTGATTCAATTAATTATTTAATTAAACAAAAATATTTTTTTTCAATTAAATTATTAATTATTTTTTAACTTATATTTAATTATATATTTAATTCATTCAATCAATTTTTTTATTTTATATTTAAATATGAAATTTTTTATTACATATGGTAAAATTATCTAGTAATAATAAAATAAGAAATATCAAGGCTTAATATTAGATTTAAAAAAAGTATATAAAACTAAAAACTGTAAAAAATTAGAGCTACAACATATACAACATGGCAAAATCTGTTGGTCTTATGATGTCACTTTACTCATAAGCTTTGGATGCACCTACATGTACATATTTAGTATGTCATAATTCCAAATTTAATAAATAAAAAATGCACAGAAGATTAATATTTTATATGGACTTTTAGTACACTAACTGTCAAATTTCACATAAAATATTCTCCCTCGGATAAATACTCTTTGATCTGGATAATTTACTCATTGAAAAATATGTAGTAACAGGCATGGAAAGTTGAGATTCAACTATTATTATACTGATCTCAAACAAAAATTTGTAAACTTCTTAATTAATTTTATGTCTTCATTGCAAAAGAAACTTATAATTGGTTTATATTAAACATCTTCTATTATGAGAATCTTAAAAATTTATGTCAAAAAGTACAAAGTAATACATTTTGCATCTCTGTCATGTAAGCTCAAGAAGTAGAAAAAAGGCCAAAAACAAATGAAACACCCATGCGTGTTGTTTTGTTTTTTTCAGATTGTTTATTGAGTTCTCTACAGAGTAGCAAGCGTTTCGGCGCGACCGGCGGCTAGCCGAACAGCCGGTTAATTTTCACGAGCCACGCCGCCGCCGGCTTATTTTGCAGATAGCGAGAGGCTTTTTTAAAAAACGAAACCTACTTAAATTTGGTACATTTAACAAAATAAACACGGCTAAGCCGACATTTTTTTTGAGCCGGTAAAAACTCGGCATAAAGTCGATTAGCCGCCCCGCCGTGTGTACTTGCTAATTATACATTATATACATAATCAATTATATTGTTCTTTTTATGTCAAAAATATTTGTGTGTCGTAATGAAATTTTATAAAGGAGGCGTGGAATGGCCATCTACAAAAAAAAGTATTTTTTTTTTTACAAGTTTTTATACCCTCCACCACCATCAGTGGTGATAGAGGGTATATATAAGTTTATCATTCCGTGTGTAACACCAAGAAATATTCATCTGAGACCCAACAAAGTATATATATTCTGGGTCCTTATGAAATTCTGAGTCGATTTAGCTATGTCCGTCTGTCCGTCCGTCCGTCCGTCTGTCTGTCTGTGTAAAACACGCTCACGTTAAAACGAAGGAATATAATTTAACCAAATTCACCCAAAACATTCATTATTATCCGGTACAGTTTGGTATTGAAAATGAGCAAAATCGGTTCACATCGGGAAAAGTTATGAATCAAAATTTAAAACAACCTCGAAAAAAATAAGCATTTTTTACACATTCTGATGTAATTTTCTTGAAAACTATGCAAGATAATTCCATGAAAATCACCATACATTCGTTTCTACACAAGATCTTGATCCCTGCTGAAAATTGCTAGAATCGGTCCACAATTTCATATACCTCCCATACAAAAGTACATATTCCCGGAAAATGGGTTTTTTGCTAATAACTACCGTCACAATGAAGATATCTTCACAAAATTTTACAGATAAAAATTTTATGTCAATAGAATTCATTCAGAGAAAAAATTTTCTGGATCGGTCCATAATTGGACATAGCTCCATATAAAATTTGGTACAAGTATTGCCCATATGCATAGAAATATTACAGTGAAAGTTTTTTCCGATTGGTCCATAATTGGTCATAGCTCCCATACAAGGTCCCCTCCCGAAAATCACTTAAACGCGTATAACTCATTATTAAATTAAGATATCCATATAAAATTTGGTATAAGTATTGCCCATATGCATAAAAATATTACTATGAAAGTTTTTTCCGATCGGTCCATAATTGGGCATAGCTCCCATACAAGGTCCCCTTTCCAAATCACTTAAACGCACATAACTCACTACTAAATTAGGATATCCATATAAAATTTGGTACAAGTATAGCTCACATATACAGAAATATTACTACGAAAGTTTTTTGCGATCGGACCATAACTGGTCATAGCTCCCATACAAGGTCCCCTCCCGAAAATCACTTAAACGCACATAACTCATTACTAAATTAAGATATCCATATAAAGTTTGGCAGAAGTATTGATCATATACAGAGAAATATTACTGTGAAATTGTCACAGCTGCTACAGAAAAACACTTAAAGGCACATAACCATTACCAAATAGTGATATAAATAAATACTATTTTTATACATAAATACTATTTTTGTACACATAAATGTTAAATTTTTTAACGATCGGTATATCCTTGGTCATAGTTCTATACAAGGTTCACTCCCGAAAATCACTTAAACGCACATAACTCATTACCAAATATTGATATCCATACATTTAGCAAAATCATTGCTCTTATATACATAAATTACACTATAAAATTGTTTTACGATCGGTCCATATTTGGTCACAGCTCTCATACTAGGTCCTCTCCAGAAAATCACTTAAATGCACAGTATTTATTACCAAATAATGATGTAGATACAGAATTTTAAAATTTTGTCTTTATATACATAATTGGTCATAGCTCCCATACAAGGTCCTTTTACGAAAATCTCTTAAACGCACATTACTCATTACCAAATAAAGGTATTGATACAAAATTTGGCACAAATATTAGTTTTGTATACAAAAATTCTATTTCAAGATTTTTGCACGATCGGTTCATAACATGGGTGCGGTCGGTCCCATACAAGGCTCCCTTCAGAAAATCACTTAAACACAGATTACTTATTACTAAATTACGATATAGATACAAAATTTGACTGAAATACAGCTTTTATGTACAGAAATTTAGCTTACAGAATTTTTTACGATCGGTCTATATTTGGTCATATCTCACATAGTAGGTCCTGCCCCTAAAAGCGCTTTAACCGTGTTTAACTAGTTGCATTATCAATTTGTGTAGAACAAAATTATATATATGTATTTTGAAAATCTTTAAATCTTTCACACACACATGCATACATACACATTACTAAATATTGCTAAGCGCTATAAAAATATAAAAGAAAATGGCATTTGTAATGTTCAATAAATCTTGGAATCGTAATAGATTTAAGTTGTTTAAATCTTGGTATTTTTCTATTTAAGACATGAGAAAACTTATTTCTACAAATATTTGATCAATTAGAAAAGTATTAATATAAAAGTAGCTGGTGGAGGGTATTTAAGATTCGGCTCAGCCGAATATAGCACTCTAACTTGTTTGTTTTAACTTGTTTATGCGTTTTTTAGACGAGAGTGTTCTACTTTTTTTATGTCATTTTTTTGGAGAAAAACAAATACATAAACAAAAAATTAAAGCTTATATATTATTGCATCATATTGTGGAGTCATTGTTAAAGATTTTGGTCGTGTGTTAATTGTAGAAGAAAAAAAGTTAATTATATTGTCTACATAAATAATTCCAAAATAAAAATTTTTTGGAGGTCCAAAAAACACTGCCCGGCAGTAAAATATTGTGTGCAAATTATATACCTACATACCGAATAAAATTAAATACATCTAAAAACAAGTGCTTGACGTGTGAAAATTGAAACAGATAAACAATAACATCGTCTACAAATATCTAAAGACCATTAAATTATTTTTTTTTTGGAAAACCATTGCCGCCTTCACCAAATAATTGTATTCAAATACTCAACAATTATAAAAGTGTTAATATTGTGTACAAATACTTGAAGACCATAACCTAAACATTTATTGGAAGTGCAAAAACAAGCTTGCCGCGTGGAAAATAAATCAAAACATTGGAAGTACATATCTTAAGGCGAAACAACAACAATTATAATAGTGTCTGCAAATACAAGGTAAGTCAAAACATGGTAATAAAAGAATCAAAGTTGAGGTGACGTAGGCGTCAAGTACGCAGAAAAACCAAGCCAATCAAAAGTTTTCAACGGCGGCTTGACCGTTTTTAATCCACGGCGTCTATATTTCTTTGGTATTGTTTGTAAAATATTATTAAAAATTTCTCATAAAAATATAATTCCAAATTTGTATACAAATTTTATTTTACTTTTTTAATAAACGTTTTTAAATGTTTCTGTTTTTACATCTTTGTTTATCTGCAACTACGTCACCTCAGCTCGAAAAAGAATATTAAATTCTGATATTGTATTGAAAAGTATATATTGCATATACCAAAAAACTTGAATCTTTTTGTCCCTACTTTACATCTACCTTGTAAACTATCCAATTTATAGTACCTAGCCTTTTTAATAGTGCTAATGTTTTAATATTTTGAAAAAAGCTACTAAAATTCAATCGTGTAAAAAGTGTGTCTGCACAAAATATTTTAAAGAAGATGTGTTGTCCAGTTTATTATTGATAATCTAATCATATACACATTAATCTGTTTTTCTGTTCCTCTATATCATTAAAAAGATATTAAAGTGTTGAGTATATAAAAATTTAATTAAATATTTATAATCTAATGTCAATATGGGCATCATATTAAAGTTAACGATTTCTGGAAATGTAATTGTTTTCCGTTTTAATTTTTCAGGTTGAAAATTTTTAAATAACATCTTTTGAATATTTTATTCTTTCATATTCTTGGGAATTCCCAAAATATATTTTTTAAGGATTGAATTATTAAATTGATTTTTGTTTCTAAATGTAAAATCGAATTTTTTTTTAAATTTTTTGTCCTTATAAAAGAAAAAAAAAAAACACATCAGATTAATAATTTCGTCATTTATATGAAGGGATAACATTTTTAAAGGACATTTCGATTTTCAATTTGTCATTTATTAACATAGAGATAATAATATTTGGATAAATTTACAAATTTGTTATATCCTCAAAAATTTTAAGTCCTTTCAATGAAGAAGAGATCCTCTTTCCTTTGATACTCATATTAACAAAACATAATGTGCATTAATATTTAAACAAATTTGTATATGTCAGAAAATAAAAAATTGAGAACGCAGTTTTACTATATACTACCTTCGGTATTATGTGTATATGGTCGCGTTCAAATCCAATAACAACTGTCGTGCGGTATTATACATAAATATATTAAATTTTTATTATTAAACGGGATACTAGTTTGTTTCATCAATGCGCTTAGAGAATATTTGCATTAATGTTGAATCTTACATAGATTTTGATGTTAACAATTTAAATTTGTTTTTAATATTTATTGTAAATTTTTCCGAGTAAATACGTAATCCTCAGAACTACTTAGACAATTTCATACAACGATGTCCCTAATTTTAATTAAATTTGGTACATACATCTTTGAATATATTCCAAAATTAAAGTTATGACTCAGTTTTTATCGAGGTTGAAAGTTCATATATTTTTTTAAATTTTCTTAAAATTATTAAATTTGATATCGTATATTTTATGTATATACAATTTATCAGATTTTAATAATTATCCTTATCAATGCCAATATATTGTAGTTTGATAATACTTTGGTTTAAATATTATAGTTTTAATACTACACCATTTCCAATTGTATATCAGAACTTTCCAATTCAATTTCAGAAATTTCTAATTATATTTCAGAAACTTCTAATTATGTTTCAGAAATTTCTAGTTATATTTCAGAAATTTCTAATTATGTTTAAGAAATATATTTTATTTTTCAAAAAATTCTAATTATTTTTCAAAAATGGATTTTTTATTTCAGAAATTTCTAATTATATTTCTGAAAATTCCAATTGTATTTCAGAACTTTCCATTTGTATTTCAGAATTTTCCATTATTATTTCAGAAATTTTAAATTTAACTTAAATATTAATTCCTATTGTATTTCAGAAATTTCCAATTCTATTTCAGAACTTTCCATTCGTGTTTCAGAATTTTCCATGTATATTTCAGAAATTTTTAATAGAATTTTCATGTAAAATTTCTGAAATTCAAATGCAAAATTCTGAAATACGAATGGAAAGTTCTGAAATACAATTGGAAATTTCTAAAATACAATTGGAATTAATATTTAAGTTAAATTTAAAATTTCTGAAATAATAATGAAAAATCTGAAATACAAATGGAAAGTTCCGAAATAGAATTGGAAATTTCTGAAATATAATTAGACATTTTTGATATATAATTGGAAATTTCTGATATATAATTAGAAATTTCTGAAATATAACTAGAAAGTTCTGAAATATAATTAGAAATTTCTGAAATAAAAAATCTATTTCTGAAATATAATTAGAATTTTCTGAAATATAAAAAATATTTCTGAAACATAATTAGAAATTTTTTATTGCAAAATTGCATTAGACATTTTTAATAAACAATTTTAAAATTCTACAAATGTTAGGAAACAAATTTAAATTTTATCATTTTATTAAATTTTGATGATTTTAAAATGATATTTCGAAAAAAAAATATAATTCAAATATATATATAGTTCAAAATATTTAAATTTTTATTTTTTAAGCTTAAACCAAATAAAAAAATGGAAATTAAATGCTTTATGTGCGAAAACACTTACAATTCTCCACAAGAATTATTCAAGCACATTAAACGATATACTTTTCCGCCAAACTATGGCTATAAATGTACATTTAAAGATTGTTATCAGCTATTTTATCAAAGGTTTTCTTTTAAAAGACATGTACTCAGACATTTCCAACTCAAGGCAGATGCTATTGTTAATTTAAATCAAGAAGAAATGGACTGTAGTTTTGAATGCATTGACAGCAATGAATCACGAAATAATACTGAAATACAAGAAATGGAATGTAGCAGAATTTATGAAAATACTCAAATTTTTAATTACAAAAAAGAACTTTCTATCGTTTATGAGTCTGCTGAGAATTTTATTATAAATATGCATTCCTTCAGCAATTTTTCTAAATCAGATGTAAATAATATCAAAAAGAGTCTCGAGGATTTAATACTAAAACCAATTTTAAATTTCCTCGAGCAAACTCAAAACCCTAACAACTCGATAAACAAATCGTTTTCTGATGTTTTACATGATATACAGTTTTTATTCAACGGTGTATCTTCTGATTTTAAATTAGAAAAAACTCTTAAACAAAAAGATTTAATGTCTGATATTAAATCGTTTGCCATCGATGATAATTTAAAATCTAGTGGAGTAATTATGCCATTAGAGTTTCAGTTAAAGAAGTTATTTGAACATGATAACTACCTTGAAGAAGTCCTAACTCACATAAAAGAAATAGAAGGAAATCCAACATATGTAAATTTCATTCAAGGAAAACTTTGGAATCAAAAGAAAAACTTATATGAAGAAAAAATTGCTATCCCATATTTTCTTTATGCGGACGATTTTGGGATAAATAATCCGCTTGGATCAAAAGCAAACAGAGATTCTGTTTGCAACTTTTATTATAGCTTTCCATGTAAACCAACAAAAAGTTCAAAGTTAGACGAAGTTTTTCTAGCCAGCTCAATTAAATCTGAAGACGTTAAGCTTTATGGAAATAAATGCTACGAACCTTTAATCAACACTTTAAGGAAAATTGAAGTTGAAGGGATTCAAATAAAAACAAAAAATGGCACACAAAATGTACATTTTATAATGGGGTTATTTCTGGGTGATAATCTAGCCCTAAACATTACACTTGGATTCTCCAAGTCCTTTTCAGCAAAACATTATTGTCGATTCTGTTTAATGGACAAGCAGAAAGCTCAAAAACAAACAAATGAAGACAAAAATATTTTGCGGAATAGATTAAACTACAGGGAATCTATAGAGGGTGGTGTAATGATGGATAATGGAATAAATTCAATATGCGCTTTTAATGAGATTCCTTCGTTTCACTGTACAGAAAATTATACAGTTGACGTAATGCATGATTTATTTGAAGGTGTATGTCATTACGTTTTAACTGAGGCTTTGAATTATTTCATAAAAGTTATGAAATATCTTTCAATCGATACACTTAACAATCGTCTCAAAAATTTTACCTATGATGATCATGACAAAGGTAGCGAAAAGATCAACATAACAAACAATGAATTGGAAAATAGGAAGTTGAAGACATCAGCAAAACAAATGATGGCATTTTGCCAATACTTCACCATTCTATTGGGCGATTATATATCAAATCAAGATGCAGTTTGGTCGTTTTTGCTAAAATTTTTTGAATTAATTGAAGACATCTTGTGTTACGAAGTTTCCGAAGCTTTAGTTAAACAAATAGAGACAAAAGTTACAAACTTTAACAAGGATTATCAACTACTATTTAAAAAAAATCTTACACCTAAATTTAATTTTTTATTACATTACGCCACAGTGATAAAGCAATGCGGTCCTCTAAGACAGTTCTGGAGTTTTAAATTTGAAGGAAAGCACAAAGAATTCAAAATTTATTCTCATGTTATAACATCTAGAAAAAATATTGCGAAAAGCTTTTCTTTCAAACAGCAAATGTCCTTTATTAATTATATAATTCAACAAAATTCCCAAGATTTCGTATTTACAAAGCAATTTTGTGATTTTGAAATTAAGAAAAACATAAGCTTTAAGCTAAAAACATCGGTTGAAAATATTTCTCTATTTTCTGAGGCAAAAATTTGGGGTTATAAATATAATAACAGACAAATTATATATACATTTAATAATGATTTTGAACTTTATCAAATTTTCCTTATTGTTAAGACAAACTTTAATAAAATAATATTTTGCTGTAGAAGAATATGTGCGGAATTCAACACCCATTACTCGGCGTTTGAGTATGGTACCCTTTCTGAATCATATAAATTTGTCAATATTGATGATCTTATTGGTCCTCCAATTGGAGTAGTTAAGAATACCCAAGGAAAGTCGCTTTTAAAAATAAAGGAATATTATAAAAATATATATAAAAATGAATACTCTTGATATTGGAGATATTTTAGAAGAATGGAATCTAAGTCATTTGTATACAAAATTTAAAGGTACGAAATTAAACAATAATTAACTTTTTAAAACTTATTTTTCGAAATTCACTCTTGCTGAAGTAATTATTTAACCTGTAAATTTGTCCTTTTTAATCTTTAGATGAAAGAATTACTATCGAAGTGCTTAAAATCTTATCGCCAATTCCCATTGCTAAACTGTTTAGTGATTTGCCGGTGGGAGACCAAGCAATTTTTGAAACTAATTTAAAGAAGTGGATGCAATCGCTGGAAACTAGTGATGTTGATTTGTCAACATCTACGAATGTTACACAAAAAATAATTTGTTCCGTAAAAGAAATACTTAAAACCACATACAATGGGCAGGAAATCTATGCATTTTATAAGAAAAATGGAAAATTATATGATGAGCAAAGAAATCTATTGATATCCACAATCACAAAATATATTGAAAGCCATGGAATTGATTGTTCTCTTTCTGAATGCACAGAACTAGAAAAAGAAATTTGTTCTCTTTTCCCAACTGAAGAAATGGTAAGATAGAAAAAATGAAGTAATAAAAGTAATGTATAAAAATAAATCTAAACAATTTAGGAATTTTACACAAATGGCAAAAGAGGTAACAAACTGGCAAATCACAAAAGAGTGGCAAAAGATACATTCAAATGTAAAAATCAGATACCTGATAAAATTGAAAATGGTAATTAAACGTGTAGTTTTTAGTGAAGTTGATATATTTGCATATTTTTCTTTATGTTTTTTAAGTTATTGTTGAATTTGAATGTGTATAAAAAGTCCTTTCTTAATCTTTTAGATGTTGAAGATAATTATGATCTCATTTTGATGTATTTGAGAGATGAAAAAACAACTGCTGAAGATTTTTGCTTATATTGGAAACAATGTGCCCCATTGAGATTTAAACAGATGAAAGACTCTAAAAAAACCTCCGAAATTTTAAAATTGTGGCCAGAGTTCAAAAAACCTTCTGCTTGGCAATTGGTAATTTTAAATATTATTACATCTTATTATTTACTTATTAATATTTTTATAATGGACCCTTCAACGTTTTTTCATTGCTGACTTTCATTTAGATCGATGTTGATTTTAAAATTAAATTTCCAAATGCCAAAAATTTATTCGAGAGATGGTCTCAACTAGGAGATAAAATGTTGACTTTACTAAAACAGAAAGTATCTTCAGCATTTGTATCCCAAAAACTGTTAGAACTTGATGCTCACAATGAAGGTATGTATATATACATATATGTATGTCAATAACATCTTTAAATATATATTTTTTTAATTTTTGTATTTTTGTGACATTTCAGAATCTAAAACATTCGCTGTTTTGTGGTACCTTCACTACATATTTCCCCCTAATCAAAAGGTTAATACTGATCCTAGTGGCAGCAAAATAAGAAAAAAATTTTCCATTGCTGATTCACAAAATGGTTTTGCTATCTTAGCAGACAGCAGTCAGGAATTAGAAACAAAAATTAAATTGCTTCAACTTCAAAATCGCTGTATTCAACCAAAACTTTTAATTGTGGGACAATTCCCAAGCATTAAATCCATTAACATTTATTTAGATAATATAAGGTATCCATTTTGTAACATATTAAAAGCATTTGATATACTTTTTAAGTTATTTTTTGTATTTAACTTACAATATCCCGAAGAATCGGAACTATTTTACAATTTTATTCAAAACTGTTTTTATGATATACCATTACAAAAAAAATCTACTAAAATATAAAAAATTAAATATATTGTATTTTAAAATAAATATTACTATATCCATGAAAATTGTTAACTATAAATGTATTCAGTATGCATACATATATTAAAAAACAAAATAAAATTTTATAATAAAAATATATTTTCGTTTTTATTTGTAAATTTTGTGGAGTACTTAGAGAATATTTTATGGTCTCAACTAAAATTTTTAATAATTTTAAATAAAATTTCTATTAATGACTTTATTAATTTAATTAAAATGTTAATAAATTTAAAATAAAAAAATCAATTATATAATTGATTCATTTAATTATATACTTAATTGATTTTAAGTTTGGATTTCTATTAAACTGTTTATTTAATGCAGTTATTAATTTAATTAGTTTTCTCCAAAAAAAAAAAAACAATTATTAATTTGATTTACGCAATCATGTACATAATTGATTTTTATTTAGGAAATGGATTATTTTAATAATTAATTTAATTGAAATTCTAATCAATTTAATATAAAAATTCAATTATTTTTTTGCTTCATTTAATAATCTACTTAATTGACTTTTTGAGATATTTTGATTAAGCTGTTTAATTTATTCTATTAATGAATTAATTAATTTAAAATTTTGGTTTTATTATTGGTATTAATTGTTTCAATAATTTTTTTATTTGAAAAAAAAAATAGTTTTTTCCTACTTTTTACAATTTTGATAATTGATATCATCATTTTGGTGATAGGTGCAAAACTTGCTCGATACAATTATTTTGATAATTGAAGCACATTTTTAGTTTTTTCTGTGTAGATTTAGTAAAATATTTAGTAAATTGCGGCTGCAATAAGTAGTTTTGCAAATCCCTGATTGAAATAATATTCAGCATAAATATGTATTGTGTATACATATATCGCTCTGCAAAATATTTTTTGGATCGGTCCATAATTGGGCATAGCTCCCATATAAGGCCCATTTCCGATAACCAATTTAACGCACATATTTCAAAACTAAATGAAGATATCGGTATAAAATTCGTCATGAATGTGTTTAAAGTAGATATGAAACACCCTGCGAAATGTTTTCCGGAGAGTCAATAATTGGTCTCCCACATAAGGACCTCTTCCGAAAATCACTTAATCCGACATAGGTGTTTTTTTTATCGATAAATCATTCTGCGAAATTTTGTTCGGATTGGCCAATAATTGGCCATATCTCCATAAAGGGTACATATGATTTCTAAATGATAGCGTCCTCATCACGGAAGCACAATTTAAACTTTCTTAATTTATTAAATACGTATCTAGAAATATTAAGAAGGGTTTTCATAAAGAGTAGCTTACAGGTGCAGGGTATATAAGATGTTGTATAATAAAAATTTATGTTGTAATAATGAATATATTTAAAGTTCACTTTATTCCCCACTTTAACGTTACCTTTTACTATGTATTACGAACATTTAAGGCAAGTTGTAATAATGGTCCTTAGTTTACTATAAGCACTTTATGTACAACAATATATTTGTATTTCATCAACCTTTTCACAAACATACAAATGTTTGATATATAAAAGAAAAGAAGTGCTTTAGAAATATAAAAAAAGGTGTTTGTAATGTTCAATAAATCTTGCATTTATAGCAAGATTTAAGCTATTTTAATCTTGAAGTTTTTTATTAAAAAACACGAGAAAACTTATTTCAACAAAAATTTGATCAATTAAAAAGTATTAATATAAAAGTAGCTGGTGGAGGGTATTTAAGATTCGGCTCAGCCCAAACTTGTTATTTTTTTTAAGGTGACTTATTTTTATCTTTTGGTCATTACAATATCACCAGTGTGTCCTAACGGATTTTCTTAACGCTTACCCTGAATTTTCCCTTTATCGTCATTATCGTACGATATACACTTGTCCAATGGTCCCACAGTTCTGGGTTGTTGTCTTCGCTGACACAATTATAATTTCACCACGTGGAAATTTTCTTTATTTAATCTTGGCTGAAAACACCTTGCATTTGCCTCTGTCTTCGCTAAACTGTAATATATGCCTTATTTTCTTACAAATAGATGGCTCTGCGACACTGATGATTCCTTTTGTATAAACATCAAACTTAATTATTACAACTGTCTATATTTTATTACTATTACTTATGATTTTATACAATCGAAATTATGCAATACCTAAAAGTAATAAAAGTAATTTATATTTAAGTACAACATTTAATTCATTGTATACTGTCATAAAGCTACACTCATTCAAAAACTTATTCATCTCACCTTCGATTGATGCTACAGTACTTTTCGCTTATAGTCACAACCCTTAATTGCACGCAAATTGAGGACTATATCGCTAAAGTGATTGTAAACAAAATTTTTTGTGTGTGCTTATAAAGAAAATCGTATATGTATATAATTATTTGTGAATATAAAAAAAAAAATTAAAAATTCAAGTTTATTAAAGAAATAAATATTACTTTCATAAATTCATTACGTTAAAAAATATTGTTTATATTATTTAAAACAAGAGTGTTATATTCGGGTGTGCCGAATTGTTATGACCCCTAGCTTTGTCATTATTTAATTTACTCTTTGTCACCTCTGATGTTATTATTTTATTTACCTTTTACTTATTTTCTTTGGGAAAGACCAAATTGCATTTTGCAATTTGGCCAAATAATTTTCTAATGAAGTAATTGATACTGCATTTCCAGTGGGAAGATGCAATATTGCAATTTGTTCTTCTTGCAATTTGTCCTTAACACAAATATATTTTTGCTAAATAAACAAAATATTAATATATAAGAACATAAAAATCTTTAATAAAGTCAGTCATAATTAAAACCTTAAACTAGTGTATTATTTTTTAACGTGGATAAAAATCCAAATTCAAAATTGGCGCAGTCGGTAGGATCGGGTATCCTTCCTAAAATATAAGATATCAACTCCTTTTGAAAAACCTCAAGAATGGGATAAGCTCCTTTAGAAAGATCCTAAAAAGGAGATCAACTCCTTCGGCAAAATCCTAAAAAGGGGATATACTCCTTTGGAAAACCCCAATAAAGGAGATCAACTCCTTTGGGAAAAAACTATTGTTTATAAACCGGTTAACCGAAAAACCGGTTTTTATTGCATATTTCGGTTTTTCGCAAACCTTTTTTTTAAAACATTGTTTTTTTTTTTTGTACTAAAAATCAGATTTTTTGAAACCGGTTAATCGATGCTTAAAAACCGGATAACTCGGTTAACCGGTTTCAAAAAATCTGATTTTTAGTACAAAATTTTTTTTTTTTTTTTTGATTTTTTTTGTGATTTTTAAAAATTTCGGATAGATAATTCTAAACATTATTTTCCATTTGTGCATATGAAAACAGACCTAAGATTCTTAAACAAATGTTAGGAAATGTTAAACATATACATATTATATACATATATATTAGCAGTATTTTTTAAACATTTGGGTTTATTAAATCCAAAATTTAGTTCTCCCTCTGTACGCCAGGTGGATAAAGCAAAAGGTTTCAATCGAGGCTAAACAAATTTCAAATAATAATGGCAGTAAATCTCCATTTTTATAAAATGGTGATTTACAATTTCAGACAATCAGGAAATTAGTAAAAAGTTGGCATTTAATCCAATAAAAAATTAACTATTTAAACAAATTCCAACCATTATATGAAGAAATTTGTTATTTATTAATGCGATAAATAACTTTGATGATAAAATGCAGGATACACTTACTTGTTTACTGCATGAGTATAATAAAAATCGAGAAGTTTCTCGAAAGTTCCTATGCGTCATTCACAGTAATTTGAAGAACCACAGGCGTAGCGAAAGGAGGGAGTTCACAATTAAATCAAGGACTTAATGTCTATGTCGAGACAGTCGACGTCTATTTCTGTTCCCGATGAATCGTCGCGAGCTTGATCACTATTTATACTTGATAGCCCTGGACATAAATTTTTTTATTGATACAGATGCATTATATATTCAAAGGTCAATTCATTTCTCCTATGGCAACTTCCATATACCTCAGATCTGTATAAGTTTGTTTTCTTATGATATATTAATGTACATATCTATGTATACTAAAAAGTGCAACTAATTATTATAATATTTTAAAGATTTCCAAACATTTCGGGCAAGACATTGAGACATTAAGGGCTATTTGATGAGCTTGACATTTAAAACAAATACAGTAGAATTTTATAATGATATTAAAAACAAGTTACATAGGTTGAATAACAAGTTAGTTATTATACTAGGAGAGACTGAGGTAAGTAGGCAATCCGTGACTAATAACATGCGCACCGCGTTGAATATTTTTAAAAGAAAAATTCCAGAAGCGATGAAGACAATTCTGCTCTGCAGAAATCCCACAGAAATCCACACTCGCACCAAAACAGACGTTTGAATTATAATCCTCAACAGGACTATAAAACGAACTATCAGAACCAACTAAGAAATGGTATGCAAATAAATTACAAACAGAATAGGCATTTCCAACAATCTTTCCAAAATCAGCAACCAGCCTTTCAACAGCCCTTTCAGAGACAATGTAGAAATACCCGCCTTCAGGGAATTTAAGTTAAAAAACAAAATGTTACAGTTTTATATAATAGATTTTCTTAACCATTATGACGGATTATTAGGAAATGATATCCTTAGACCCCATAATGCCTTTATCAACAATAAGCTTAATTTAATTGAAATTAATGATTGTCAAGTACCCTTATACTTTATCTTTAGGGATCAGGACGAAGAAAATAACTACATTAAGGAGTTGCAAAAGAACGGAGTTTTAGGGAATGAAAATCCCATCTTCGAACTAAACCTTGTGTCAAACACTGATTCCCTTGATTTCAAATTTTTTTGAAAAGCAAATCCGCTCAGATGCTCTTTTCTAAACTTAAGGGTAAGGCAAAACAGGCTATTGAAATAAACTGTCACGCCATTTCCTGGACAGATATTAAGGGAATACCAAAACAACTTCGGGGACAGACGTTCTTGCGGCGAACTATTTGATGAGCTTAGGAGTGTGACATTTAAAACAAATACAGTAGAATTTTATAATGATATTAAAAACAAGTTACATAGGTTGAATAACAAGTTA